ATCGTGTAGATCACAGCAGCTTTTCGTATGGAAAGTTTAGGGTCTTTTTTGAGGGCTTTGAGCGCAAGGATTATACGGCTTTCTTTTGGAAGAGACTCCATGTTGTATTGTGGAAGAAAACAGGTGATGAAGTTACGAAGTTGTAGAAGGGGAGAAAGTGGGCCACTCGCTATGCTGGGCCGCTCGCTATGCAAGTACGTTATACCTTATCTCTCAATATAGAAAAGAGAAGTAAGCTTGCTACTAATTAGAGACTTATTATAGGGGGTTATATAATAGACAAATATATATAGACGTTATATAGATCTAGCTTAGAAGTACAATACTTTTAGGAATATTAGTATATATCCAATAGTTGGATATTTATAGTCGACAAGGGCAGGGATAGAGTACATTGTAACTAGGCACCTAGTAGCCTAAATCAGGCCAATTAATGAACTGAGTTAAGATAGTGTTAGCTGATTTAGACTGTATATTAAACTAGCTTAATGGAGTTCCTAGAGAGGTATAGGGAACCAGTTAGGAGGAGGAGGGTAGTAGTATCAAGACTAGCCACAGTACTATCTTGGAATTTTTCCTTATACAAGCGTCGATACCTCCCCTTCCAAGTAGGATCCGGGACATCCTACTACAACTGGTTCGGAGGTATTGGATGACATTGCTACCCCCTCTTCCCTCCCTCTCCCCCTATATTGTACCAAGTGAAGAGACTCGTATCTAGTTGATGCCTTGAAAGGAGGGCGTGCTGGCAGGCAATATGCTATCGCGACGTGGGTGCCCGGCCATCCCTCCTTCGTAACCGAGTTAGATCAGGAGAAATGAGAAGCCTGTGCCATGCAACCGTGGCCGCCGTGACTGCGGCATGCATAGGGTGTCCCTTCCCAATAGGTCCACGGGGCTGGTTAGAGTCGGTGTCCCAATAATACCTCGAGCGAGCAGGCTGTAGCCAATAAACCACAGGCCTACCAGCACGGGTTGGGACGCCTCGCATTGCTATCGCGGCTTGCCCCGTGTCGGATCTCTCAACAGTGGCTAAGCCTTGCCAAAGGTAAAACCCCTTTTCGTTGCTGCAGCACACCGCGTTCCAGCTCGACCGAACGCGTTTACCCCAGCCCTTGTTTGCAAAGAGACCTTAACTTTCCCCATCTTGCTTTGCTCAGGACTGGTTCGTCCGAAACAGCGGTGTAGTGAAAACGCCAAGCGCCTTCGACAATGGAATCTCCAGGGGACGCTGCGTTTGACATCCGAATGCTAAGGCAAGCCCCGAACGCTTCTCGAAGGCGGACGCGAAGGCAGACGCGAAGGCGGACGCGAGCCCTGGCGCGCTCTCAAAATCTATCGGCGTACGTCGTCAGCCCTCCTCCCGCTGGTACACCGGCATGTCGTCGCTGCAGCACCGAAGCGCACGACTTCTTCGTTCAGAGGCGCGTACCCATTCAACGCCGTGTAGACTAGCGAGTTAACAATCCATGCCCTAGTGATTCTCAGTGGTATCACTACGGCTGTTCGCACCCTCACCCTCGCTTCCAAGCGGGGTGCGCTCCGGGAGCGCCTGTTCGAAGGAACACCCCGGGGGCAAACGCGGAGGCGCTGGTCGGTGCGATGAACGGAGAATCGTGCCTCCCATCGCGGGAGAGTGCAGCTGCCACGAACAGAAGATCAAGTCTACAGGCGCCAGCTACGAAGAATGGCGAGCTAAGTCTACAGGCAGACTCGGGCCTCGCCGCCTGCTTTCAGCAGTTCGTCGACATCGATTTGGCGGGAACCGCGAGCTCGGATCTACCGTGGAACAACTCTCTCTGTTTCAGCACCGGTTTGCCCGGCACCGTACGCTTGGATACCGGAGTGCCGGACCGCACTCAGCTCGCCCGACGTGACAACGAAGGCACGCCGACTGCTGTGGGGCACCGCACATCGAGCCTGCAAGCGCACCCGGGATCGGCGGTCGCTACCACATGGAACGGAGAATGGAGCCACCCAACACGCATGAGCGCGCCAACCACTGCGCAGGACGCCGGGTGGGGCGTCCAGGCATACTGGGCCGCCAGTCCTGGTGGAGAGATATGGATGGAGCATCCAAGCACAACGGGGCTGCCTTTACAGCCTGCTGTTCTGGGTTGCGCCGGTTTGAGTCTTGATCCGCAGGACGGTTCATCCAACATCGGGAACTGGGGAAGACAGGACCTGGGAGGTGGTTGCCGCTTGGGAAACGACGGATGTATCCAGCCGGCTTTGCTCTGGCCGGGGCCTCTGGTGGCGTCTGTTGGGCATGTCTACTAGATTTTGGCTTTGAAAGAAGTATAGCACGTACGACTTGGCCGTGATTGCTCTACCGGCTCCTTTGCCAGCAGCCTCGCTAAGAAATCTAGAGGACAGACAGTTGTTTGTTCAGCCTCCTTCCTGCCGCTCGCAGGTTACTGTCAGGGACCTGTAGCGCCTCTCTCTGTCACTTCCCCCAATATGCCATTGCCAAGGCTTCCAGATTACGCCATAAAAGTCCGTTCTCAAGTCGGTATGATGCGCGGTCTATGCCAGTCATGTATATAGCACTCTTTCCGACGGGCTTCGTCACGGCCGAGCGGTTGATGAGCATGAAGAGAGCAGGATCCCAACCTGCCAAGCCCGGTTTGCACTTGTGACGGGCACGCTTGTCTGTCACTCTTGTCCGAGTTTCCATAACTGAAGGGTTTCCGATTGGGTGCCAGCAGATTGGGTTCCTAATAGCTTCCAAGTACACATAGTCGGTAATGAGCGGTCGGTCTCGTTGGTCACAAGGTTTTGGCAAACGTTGCTTTGGATCTAAGCTTAGGGCTTGTCAGGCAACCTGTTACTCACCACCTCCGGCATGGCTGAGTGGGCAGTGATTGGGTGGCCAAAAAGTTCGATGTGGGGCATCGGCTGTGAGCTCTGGTTGCACGGAAATTTTTGAAAGCCCGGGATGGGTCGTGTGGCAAACCACGTGGTCCAATACCGGTGGGTGGGGTCGAGCTGCGATGACAAGAAACGAACAGACAACAGCTCGCGATCGCAAAGGGGTACTTGATACAGACTTGAGGCATTCTCTCGACCAGGCTAGATGCCGTACTGTAGCCCCTGCAATCGTTATTTTGAAAGTGCAAAGGCGATTCGGCAGCACCGCCAGGACTCGCACCGTCATGCTTACAACTTGTTCCCTGCCAGAAGATCCGCATCTCCTGTACGCGAATTCGTGCCTATAACGACATTGAGTTCGGCAATGCCGATATCTGGAACCCAGCCTACCCGCGATCCGGCCGAGGATGAGCCCTTGAAAGGTCTGATAAGCTCTTTAAAAGGGTATGATCAATTCGCTCTCGTCGTTCCTCTATCCCGAGCTTGTAGGTATTGACAATAGTCCCTGGCCAGGCTCTACTCCAGCGGGGAGTACTCAGACCTCGTGATATCCTGCGGAGGGAAGAAATACCATGTGCATAGAGCCATCGTATGCACGCAGTCCAAGTTCCTCGCAGCAGCTTGCCGCATAGGCCTCAAGGTCAGTTGCAGTTTAAACGCCTATGACCGCTCTAACCTAACAGTTCCTTTTTAGGAGGCACAAGAAGGAAAGATTGACCTTCCAGACGACGATCCTCGGCTTGTTCAGATAATGGTACATTATCTATACCACTTTGACTACGACGTGAAGCCGCAGTACGAGGGTATGGGTTTCGATGGATCAGTAACGAACAGAGACGAAACCGACGCCAATGAGCCGATGAGGGACGTCGTTGTCACCCATGCAAAGGTCTACGCCTTAGCAGAAAAGTACCTGATCCGTGGACTGAAGGCCGTCGCGCTACGACGATTCAAGGCGTCGGCGGCTCATTCCTGGCTGGGTATCAATGATTTCCTACAGGCAGTACACGAAGTTTATACATCTACTATTGAAGACGATCGAGGTTTGAGAGACATCGTCGTAGAAACCCTGTATAAGCATTCTGAATGGCTAGACAGAGAGGAGATGCGAGATGTGCTTAGGGCATTTGGAGCTTTGACGTACGATCTCGTTATATACATGCGCCAACATGGAAAACTCTGAACTGACAGGACTATCCTGACCGCAATTCTCGCAAAATTCTTCCGAGGCAGCGCGACATGCCCCGCATTCGATGCCATCTAAGATAAATTCCGTTACTTCGATTGTCTCCCATTTCGTATTTGAAGCCACGGCGGCTGCTTGCGATGCTTAGATGTCAGAAGTAAAGACCACCATTTGTGGGCGGGGGAGGGGCAGTGATAGCCGTGCTGCCAGCGCTAGTCCCTTTCCGGCCTTTGTCCTTTTCCCCACATTTGGGGAGAATCATATATCTTTATTTTTGGTAATGAGTCTTGGTCGACAGCTGAATGGCTAACTCGTTGATGTTCTTTCCATCCCCTCGACATAGACTGGTTTCTTCTCGCATGGTGACTTGCAGATGGCGTTCTTGGTACTCGGGTTGTGGGTTACTTGGGTCCTTTGGGGTTTGGCAGTCGGGCGTCTTGCTACGTCCCGACGCTAGACGCGCCTAACACTGCGGGGAACGGCATTGGACCAGCCAGCCGGTCTCGGGATATCAAGGACACTCTTCTACTTTCAGCAAGCCGGCTGTCACTTTCAGCTTCCCGCTTCGACTCGGCATTCGAAGATTTCCTGCAGAAGAACGACGTCAAATCGGAGAGCACCATCATGCGCAACGTGATCACCATCATCACCGGGAACGCCAACATTCCGAACAAGGGCAAGCTCCCGTCAACTTCAAATCCCTGATCTTGTAGCACCCCTTGCTTTTCTTACTCATCTAGTGTGACGGGATTGGTCGACTACGTGCGGCATCGGCTTGCCTGGGTTGCGGATGGAAAGCGGGGTGTTGCGGGGCTTTGGCATGTGCCCCTCCATGCGCGATCTCAGCAAGTAGAGATCACGTTGCAGGCAATGCCGCCTTCCTCCTCTTCGCCATCGCCGACTTTTCCCTTGGCCTTGTACATGACGTGTCTGCAATGACCCTTTGCTCAGCATTGTTCGACTGGCTGTCCCTGAGCCAGCATCTGACACAGAATCGCGTAAAGCATTTGCCTGGCTCAGCACCAATATTTATATTTAGAACACCAATAGGATTATTAGATATGGCCACATTGGCCTCCCCTCCTCCAGTGGCTTTCCAGTGTGCTGGGGATGGCGCCAGAAGCTCACAGAGTGTAACATAGAAGCGTTTGACATCCCACCGGCTGTAGCGCTCGTAAAATCCATGGCCCGGTATTCTGCCGGCACGCCACCAAGACAATCCCGGACCCCGAATCCGGCTGGTGGACCCCGCACCTGCATCCCGCTTTAGTTGATCTGCCTCCCTTCGGCGACACGCGAAGGCCAGCTCTTCAAGAACTCTCTTGCTCCTCCTGCATCTCATTTATCTTGCTGCTCTGGCTCTTTCTTTCTCTAACTCTGCGGTCCGTGTTTATATACAGTACTCCACCGCACCAATCCAGAGCAACACAAAACACATGGCTTCCTCAATCTCGAACACACCCATTCCCTCCGAACTCGACGACGAAGCTGACAATATCTACCTCCCTTCCGGACATAAATGGGCTTACCCATGCAAGCTCCCTTCGTGCCCCGACTACGGCAGGTTCTGGATGCTACGAAGCAACTTTCTCCTTCATCTACAGGAGCGAGAGGCACATGGGGCCTCAGCGAAGACACCTGCCACACGCCGCGCCATTGAGCTTGCTTGGCGTTATACTACCGATCCTAAGCTTCCACCTCGCGCAGCCCCGGATTTTCGTTCCCGGGAGGATCCTGACGAGCAAGTCTGGAACTACGGCTTTAAAGATCAGAACGGCAAGGTGATATCGGGCAGGGGTACAATGAAGCAAATGGAAATGCATAAGGCCTCGCATTTTGCCGGCGAGTAAAAGGAAAGCCAAACGTGTAGCGGATCCTATGTCCGATAGCGAGCGGGTATTCTACGTAGCTAGGATACATAGCTATAAAGTTTCACAAGCTCTCGCGAAACACACTCTCAGACGCACTCTCCCAAAGCCTGCTGGGGCAGACACTCTCATATCAGCCTATACCACTGGAGGCGGCCAACGAAACTAGGTGGACAGAAGCTGCCAAGCCCTTTGAGAATCCTCATAATCACTCTGACCCGAAACCAAGGACTCTTCTTCTTGTTCAGCCAACGAGACGCACTGCCGGTAGATTTCATTTGCGCCTCCCAGGATCATCTTGAAATCATCAGCCTCTACAAACTGAGGACGACCTGCCTCTCGACCCCTCCTAAGGCCATCCGCGAGGGTGTAGTGCACCATACGAAGCAGACTCCACACAACGACGAAGGCCACACGCCTTTCCCTCTGTATACCTAGGTTCAGGTTGAGGTAGGACGAGGTGAGATCCCGCTGCCATAAAGCAAGGAAAATACTGAGCCCCTGGTCTAGCTGGGCTGTCACCATCCGCGGAGCAGGTTGGTTGTCACCGAGTGGGAGGTAACGCGAGCAAGTGTGGTCCGATGCCTCCTCTAGGCGCAGCTCGCCTCTATGTAAAAAGGCAGACCCAAGTTTATGTGCTGGATAAATAGAGAGTTAGCTTCGATTTGGATGGATGGTAGGCATCTTATCTCACCCATTGTATAGATGAACAGCCCAAGGTCAACCAACGCAGACCGGCATGTGGTACCTGCATCAGTCGTCTAATTGAAAGGTTGGCAATCTGTTATATCGAGCGGCTGACTCGGATGAAGACTTGGAGAGGTCCTTACTTTTAACAGTTCATGCACCATCCCAAACGGATAGCCGCTCCGTTCATCCATTGTTCCCAGTGTGACCGGAGATGACGGGCAACGCCCTGTGATGCTTCTTCCACATCAGCGACCGCGTATGGTGGGAGACTCATCACCTGCGTCTTCCCATGGGGATCTTTCCAGCTTCTCTCAAGCACATCGCCCAACTCCGGATTAAACTGGCGAACCTTCAGTGGGAAGGGTGCGACACTTCGGAGACTCTGGGGAGGTAAAATGCCGATCTCGACGGTCTTTGCAGACCCCACACCAGGAATGTTGAGCGCACAAATCAGCTCAGGGAGCCCTGCTTCTTTCACAGAGTTGAACTGATCCAAAGTGAATTTGCGGACGCGCGTGTCGAGATACTTAGGCCAAGCCTAAATAGCGGTTGATCGAAACCGGAAGAGCCGCAATGACCATTCGCGCAGCTTTTGCAGAGCCCCTCGCCTACGGGTATTAGCCGTTTGCAGTTGTGGGTCTCGAAGTGGGAGCATGGTTTGTCAGACATTTCAAGTTTCTGGGTGAGAAGATGACTGAGAGATGATAGGATAGTCAAAGCTGAGCGGTCGTGCTCGAAAACAGGTGGGAGCTGAAAGATATACCGCTGCCAGATCGGGGCTAAAGTCCCTAAGTTTGTAATGGCCAGGCGGGGGAGATGATTTCACAAGGCCTACGCAGGACCAGCTAAACCGGCAGGCATCGAGTGACTGCCTCAAAAGATGGTTGCCGGCATTGGTCCGCCCTGTCTAGCGGCAGTAGCGTGTTCGGGCTCGGGCGCGGCGCATCATCTTGTCCTGAACCGTAAACGTGAATGTTGAGATTACACAGCAGCCTCCCTGGGGCGGGGAAGGAGGGTTGCGTGGGGGTGATCTCCTGCCTAAGGTTTCGCCACTTTTGCGCCGGCCTTACCCCGGTGAGGCCAGCGTTGTTCCGGAGAGGAGTCTGTTTCGCATCCTTCCTCTACCTGCCGGTACCTTGGGCGGGCATCACGTCAGTCAGGGCCTCAAGAGCACAGGTACCTGTAGCTCTAGGGGATCTCGCGCTCACTGCAGTCACTTGTCCATCACCTTATATCCTTGTTCTTGGTCTCCCTTCCATTATGCCAGTGTTCTCAAAATCATCGAACAACCGCCGTTTCCCCTTATACCTCCAGAGATGGGACAGCTCGCTCTCTCGTTCCTGCTGAACCCTCCTGAGTTGCCTCATGCTCCATCGAAGAACCCTGAGGATCACGTGGGACTGCAACAGCAATCCGCAACTAGCGACCAGGAGTGCAAGATTCAGAGGGGACAGCATTTGCCTTCGCCAACTACTGGGGTTTCTCTTGCATCCTCCTCGACAGGCTCCACGACCTCCCTTGCCACCAACCAGATACCTCCTGTTAAGCCGTATCCGCAGGCCTGCAAAGTAAAACCCCGCCGGGCAAATCCTGCTGGGCGCCTCTTCCTTTTCGACGCACCATGGTCCGCGGCGTAAGGGCCCGCTCTCGGCCGAACAGAGAAAGAGAACGGCCCTCATCCGCAAGCAGGGTGCCTCCACCAGATGCCGCCACAAGAAGGTCTCTGTAAGCACCCCCAAGTCTATATTCTGAAGCCGGGCCTGTATCTCTTTGCTCATGAGTCCTTGGCCAGTGTCATCCGAGTCATCTCGCGTCGCACTTATCCGACTCGAGCGGCACCATGGGCAGCCTCAGCGCAATAACACGGCTGCATGGACAGATTGCAGCGCCACGTTAGGTCGAGATGGAGCGCCTGATGGCACCGGGGCCATGATCACCTGTAGTGTAGTGGAACTACTCCAGCCCTGTCGGTTCTGTGAGCCTATGAACCGACCCTCCCTCGGGGTCATAAAATATATCAAGTCCAACGGTTCACCCGATTCCCCATCAGAGGCCAGTGCCCAATTCCACAATGTAATCATCACAAACTCACTTAATACGGATTCTGTTGACCATTATTGAAGAAAGTCTGCTACCATGTTCCCAGCTCCCCGGAACGGATAATTCCGGGTCTACAGGAGACCCCGCTACGGCATCCCCTGTCCGTACTGCGACAAGAAAAGGACGATCGAGCAGAAAAAGTCTACTGCGGTTCCACTGCGGCAGCCGTCGCGATAACCGATCAGCTACACAAGTAGGGCATCCCGCGGCATATGTACCGTCAACTGATGTTGTTAGCCGGACCTGGGGCTGATGCGAGTTGATGATGGACGTTGAGATGTGACAAGGGATCTGCATATGCCTCTTATAGGCCGCATTAGTGTAGTTTTAGGATCACCCTGCTCCGGGTATGTATGTTACGGCGGGGGTTACTTTATTAAACGCGACAACGTACGCTGGAGTGTTTGAAGAGGGGCTGTTGTTCGAGACGGCCGCCAGGGCTTCCAAGGTTCCACCACCCCGGAGTATTAATCTCGGCTTACTCAGGCAGATCCACTAACCCACCCCCTGCCTATGCAAACCCACTCACCCACCCACGGCAGTCCCCGCCAGAGAAGACAGCCCACATAGATACCCGGCTTGGCAGTCGGGTACGGGGGCCCGCGTCAGGGAGAGTTCAGATTCGACTCATCAACACTCTTAGCAAGCAGCGGCGGTCATCTTTCCTCCCGCGGTTGCTGAAGTGCCCGCCTTAGCGCCACAACCCCAAACGATCGGCACACCTGACCCCGGAAACACGCCGCCTGTTGCGACGGCAACGAATGTTAATAATGGCACTGGCGTTTCGTCAACAGCAGGAGCCTTCATCGATCAAGCCAACGGAGACGCAGACACCAAGCGAGAAGGGAGGCCCGCCGCTGGGAAAGGAGCAAACTGGTTGGGCAAGCGGAGTAAGCAACTCGATCCCGGAAGGTGATGGGATGAAACATTCTAGTAATGGGAATAGGGGATAGCATAGCGTTCGTTTTTCGGGGAGGGTATACTGCTCAATTCTCATTGTTGCTGGAACTTATAACGTACTCCACATGCGAACGCTCCACACGGGCGAACGCTCCACAGAATTGCGTCTGCACGTCTTACATCTTCTTTTTTCCTTTCCTTCAACAACGTAACATGCCGTCAAAAAACGATGAGGCCCAAGTCCAATTAGCCCTTCGGGCACTAAGAAATGATCCGAAACTCAGTCTCAGAACTGCAGCTAGGATCTATTCTGTGCATCATATAAAACTTAGTCGCCGGAGACGCGGTAAACAGTCGCGACGTGACATTCCAGCCAACTCGCGAAAATTGACCGACGTAGAAGAATCAGTTATTGTTCAGTATATCCTTGAACTAGATTCCAAAGGATTTCCTCCCCGCTTGTCTGGTGTGGAAGATATGGCTAATCGAATACTCGCCGAACGCGACGCGCCACGCGTCGGGGTCAACTGGGCGTCAACCTTCGTCAAACGGCACCTAGAGCTCACTACGCGTTTCAATTGGAAATACGACTACCAGAGGGCGCAATGCGAAGACCCAGAGATTATACATGGCTGGTTTGCGCTTGTACGGAACACAGTCGCGAAGTACGGTATC